TTTCTCTGGTGAAGGTAATGATGGGGGCGGGTGGTATTCTCCCAGGAAAGGACAGTCTAGTGCTACGTATCTTTTTCCCTCTCCATTCTCCTTTCCCTGACTTAATGGAAGAGTAAATGACCTGTGTCTGATGGCCTGCTGTCTTGTTCCACCTCAGCTTATCACCAGCCTCTTGTGGGTTATTCCTACCCCACTCTGGAATCCTCTACCAGACCATATAAAGAGTGGGGTGCCCTTCCAGCTGGGATGGGTGGGTCACTAGGGGGATATTTTCACTTAGGCCTGAATGAGAGAAGGTAGGACCGGGTAGCCCTCATGGCTTTGGTAGGAATTCCTTTGTAGAAACAGGAGTTTAGACTGGGTGACCTTTTCCCTCTTTTTCAGCTTCCTGATGACTTGTATCTCACTTCGAAATCTGGTATTAGGCCGCCCTTCCCTGGAGCAGCTGGCCGAAGAGGTGACTTACGCAAACTTGCGACCCTTTGAGCCAGTTGGAGAGTCGAGTCATTCAAACACAGATTCTTCAAATTCTAATCCTCCTGAACCAAATTCTGACCCTGTCCACTCAGAGTTCTGATGGGGGCAGATGTTGGGTACAGATGTGGGAGCAACCAGTCATAGGACCATTAACCTATGCAGTGGAAATGTGAAGAAATTGATATTTTATACATTTTTTTCTGTGTCTATAGTTCTTTTAAATTCAGAGAGGATACTTTAGAGAAGCCAAGCAAGGATAAGCTTTATCAAATCAAGGTTGAGGAGCTAGGAGGGGTTTAAAAGCAATGTGAAAATGCCCTTCTAGGATAAAGGGGTAAGAGGTTTAAAGTGACTGGCTCCTTGGGGAAAGAGATTTAATGTACCATGATGACAGTAACACCTCACTGTTCTCGAGTACTTGTCATATGCTAGGTACTGTGTGAACCATTGTGCCCGTGTTACTGCATTTAGTCCTTACTGACCATCAGCCCAATCTTACAGTTGGGAGACATTGAGGCTGAGACAACATAGTTTGCTCAAAGGCAATACCTAGTAAGAGATGTATCGATGGTTTGAATCTCGTCTGTTTGACTTAAGGTCCCGTACCCTGCCTTTTGTCATTTGCAGAATCACTGACATTAATTATGAAATAATGTAGCTTCAAATTTTTCTTCTTAGTTACAGGTAAGATTAGGATGGTGATCAAGTTCTAAATTCGCAGAGTAATTTTCTCTTCCCTACAGTTGTAGTTTCTTCATGGTTCCTATTATGTATACAGCCAGTAAGGTTTTCACTAGCAGCTCTGAGGATAGTTAGAATAGGACAAGGTTAAACTAATAAGGAGATTTAGATGATTGGTAGTAGTTCTCTCAAGTTCAGTGTATTTAGCATTACTCTAGCCTTTGATGAGCAGAAAGTGATGTAAAGTAGGGATTAACCAAACTTTGTGATGGATTAGGGTATGTTTGCAGTTATTTTGTAGGTTTGGATATACAGGGTGATTGAGGAAGCACCTCAATTCCTTGAAAACTCAAAAGCCTAGCATTGGGCTAGAAGTAAGAATGCATAGAGAAAAAAGAAAAAAAAAAAGGCTCCTGCTCTGGGTGCTTATTCATGGTCTCCCAGCAAAGACTAGCAGTAAATTGGCAGTCCCAGTAACTTTTGATGAAGGATGGCATCTCTGTTTTCAGGCTTCGCTTCCCATGCCCCCCATCCCCCACGCCCAGTCAGTGGTTCTTTCCTAGGCAGCTGCCTTTTCACTGTACACACTTGGTATGATTATGTCCACCTCATGGTTTCCAGTGCCGCTGCTGCTTGGCTTTCTTTCCTGTGCCCTGGACCTATAGATCTAACTAGCTCCACCTGGACATCCCGCAAAGCTTTCAAACTCTGTCCTAAGCAGAACTTAATTCATCCCCAACTCAGACCTGCTTCTCTATTAGTGAGTGGCGACTGCATTTTTTCTGGCCAAGCCATTAGAATATCTTGTCTTGAGTCTTCCTTTTTTTTTCCTCACATTTCCCGAATTCCAAGTTGTATCAATTCTACCTCTTCAATTTATTCATCTCTACTACCTCTGTTCTTTCACCCTTTATATTGGAATCTAGGCAGAGATAGACTGGAACAGGTGCAGTTGGGCCTGAATCAGGGCATCCCACTGAAGCCTGATTCCTATAAGGCATTGTGTGAGTTAGCTAGCTGTAGGTGCCCCGGGGTATCTTGATCACTTGTCAAGACCAGTGTGGGGAAACACGGTTCTCAATAGTTTTGCACATCTCAATGACAATATACCTTGGCACAATGTCCTTTGCTAGGAAGTTCAGCTATCTTCTCCCCTGCACTACCCCCGCACCCCCCGACCCAGCTCATTACTTGACTGGTAAGAAAAGTAGTTCATTTGGGGAAGGGACTCTTAGAATAGTTTTAATATAGGCAAGGATGTGGGGCGCCTGGGTGGCTCAGTCGTTAAGTGTCTGCCTTTGGCTCAGGTCATGGTCCCAGGGTCCTGGGATCGAGCCCCACATTGGGCTCACTGCTCAGTGGGAGGCCTGCTTCTCCTTCTCCCGCTCCCCCTGCTTGTGTTCCCTCTCTTGCTGTGTCTCTGTCAAATAAAATCTTTAAAATATATATATATATATAGGCAAGGATACTATCCCAAAACTGTTAGCATACCACCTCTTTTTCCCAGTGAAAATGTTGGGGTGGGATGGAGTGGAAAGGTGGTTGTCTTAATACTGTTTATGAGGAATGCTATTCAATGGAATAAATGAGTTCAGATTTCAGGAGGAATCAGGCCCTGCGTAGCTGTTAGAGGAATGGGCTATCAACATCCTTTTAGCCAGGCTTTAGTATTCCATTTCATTCTACTCCCAGCATTTGGATCTTTAGTCGCTGGCCAAGTCATCCCTTCAAAACTTTTCCATAATATGGCATGCTTTGATATTCAACCATTTGCAGTCACCATCACCCCATTTGACACCTTTGCTTCTCTTCTCGCTGGGCTGGTTACGATTTCTTCACCTTATTTTTAGAATCTTTTCTCCCCCATGTTAGGCAGAAGACAGGGCCTTTTTACAAAAGATCCTTCTCCAAGCTTCTTGAGGTCCAGTATCTTCCTAGTAAATACTGAAACCCAACAATTTCTCTGGTGCTGTCCCACCAGCCTACAGGCACCCAACTCTTCCCCATTCCCCTTATTTGACCAGCATGGTGGTTTTTACAGCAATGCACTATTCTCTAGATAACGCTTTTTTGAAACTTTTAAAGACCTTCAGATATAACTTTGCCTCCCCTCCCAACAGTTATAAATTTTTAAGCCTCCAAATCGGTGTAATTAAGCATTCCTTGGGTCTTACACCACCACTTTTCACACATGCTTGTGTAAACATGTGCCAAATGGCTATCTGTACTTTAGCTCCTAGGCTTAAAAAGGGATGGTTCTTGAGTTGTCTAGACCTCTACAAACTCAGAATAAAGGTTTTAGAAACTTACAGCTTCACTGTAATTTTGTGAGCTATCTTGTAAAATGGATTAGAACCTGGCCCCCTCACCACTGTTGAAAAATTTTGCCAATTGTATCATGTACTGAACATGTATGTAACTTGCAGCCTTAACACCTGTTTATAATAAAGGTATTAATACTTAAGACATATCTAAGTAAAAACTTTTTCACACTGGAAAGCTAGATAATGGGTTTACGTTTCAAGACTGAACATTACCATTCCATGTTTTGTTCTTAATCTTGGGACAATTTTGTAAAACATTAACGGGGGCACCTGGGTGGCTCAGTCGTTAAGGGTCTGCCTTCGGCTCAGGTCATGATCCCAGGGTCCTGGGATCGAGTCCCGCATCGGGCTCCCTGCTCCTTGGGAGCCTGCTTCTCCCTCTGCTTCTCTCTCTCTCTCCTCCTCTGTCTCTCATGAATAAATAAAATCTTTAAAAAAAATAAAATGCTTGCAGTCATGGTTTGAGGGGGTTTGAGGTCATTCCCCTGAACCATGGGAAGGATTACCTCAAATTATTAAGGGATAAAGAATATGTTCTCAGATCATATTCATACCAAAACACTTTTAAAGAATAATGGAGACAGTTAAGGTAGAACCTAGCATTTTATTTAGATCTTCATTAAACTGTTGGAATTGAGAACCAGACATACGTAATAAACCTCCAAAAATAGATCCTGAAAGGCACTTTCTGCTTAGGGCAAGCAGTCATGGAATAAGCATGTAAACAAGCTGGCTTCTCTGTACCACACCAGCCAAGTCAGCTTTCTCCATGGCCAGCCGCACCAGCTCTGCCCTCCCTTCTGTTAACACCAGCCAGACCCCCTGTAGGTCTAACCCAAGGTTTTTCTGTAGGACACCTTGGCCTACCTGGGAATGCTGGAAACATGTTGTTAAAGGAATCATGGTGTTGAGGAAAAAAAAAAAAAAAAAAAAAAAAAAAAAAAAAACTTTTAAAAGCTGCCATCTGAGGTGATGGCTTCTCTGTACTTACGCCATACCCCAGAATACAATAAATAAGCAATTAGAAAATGTTCAAGTATGAAGGGATTTCCTCCTCCCCGCCAAAAGCACTGCTCTCTGAAGGAAGCTGGTTTCTCTGTAGCTACACCAGCTGTTCAGAAAGCTCATTGGACCTGGTTTTGAAAATAAAACAAAGTTAAAACCCTGGGAGGAATTATTGTGCAGTGTGGAGTACTCAGTCTTTCTTATAAAGAAAAAAAAAGTTATCTGGTACCAAAGTGTGCAACCTACAGACCCTCAGGTACTGCCCTGTGACTTCTCTGTATGACATCACAAGGGTGCCAAGTGCCTGTTTTTCTAGAGCTAGGAGTTGGTGGTTTGGCTAGTGCTGAAACCATGCATAGGATTGGTTTACTAAATAAAAACCTTATTACGTACGTCCTCCAAAAGACAGCTGAAAAGTGGAGAGATTTTGATTTGGTGCTATTTAAGAGATGGCAATTAAGAGCATAAGCACCAGGGAGATGGTTTAATGGTAACTGCCTTTTTTTTTTTTTTTGTCAGGCTAGAGCTCCAACTGGAACTTGCGTTACATGCAAGAATGATTGGATAGGGAACACTCCCTGACAAAGAGCTACATAATTAGAAATGGATTAAGTTATAGGGAAGATAAGGGGAGGCTTCACATTCATAATAGAGCTCAAGACATTACAAATTCATGCTGACAGGGCTATGGCATTGCCAGACAGGCTATAATGGAACTACAAGTACTTTACGTGCACATTACAGGACATTTTCAGCATTTGGTGGGAAAGTCAATGCAATTAGGATTTTAGAAGGTTGGGTGATAGGGCACAAAGGTTCAATTTCAAAAAGCATTATTTACTACAGTGTTGTTGGTTTGTTTCTAGGCAGTTACATGGATCACCTATGCTCACTAAATTCATTATAATGGTGAACAAAACACCTAGGGACAGAATAGCAAGCCCAACTTACAGTCCCCCACACAAGCTAAAATTCATGTCATTGAACTAGGAGTGACTGCAACTGATCAGGAGCTGAAAGAGGACAGGAAAATTTAGGAAGAAGGGCCCTTTCCCTCAGAGCTTGAAGGCTTCTCTGTAGCCTACGCCAACAAGTCTGGGGAAAAAAGGCTAACACTTTCAATATTTAAGCTTTTTGGGCACTTCCCATGGGAAGCTGTCCCTACCAAAGTGGCCATAGGCTGCAGTCCTCTGATAAATTGGCTTCTTCAGATCCAGATCCCTGGAATATACAAGTCCGTAACTTAATATGTAGCATTCAATTAAAATAAAGCAAAACAATCAGCAAGACTCATTTTCAAGAGTTCTGGCAAATGAGTTCAGTTCTCTGGGGTTTGCTAGGAAAAAAGTTTGTGGCAGAAGTGTTTGTTACTTCCCTGGTGTCCAAACTCCTCGCACAGTCCTTATTAACTACAGTTCTTGTTTTTCCATCCTTGGCTCAACAAATATGAAAACTTGTCATTATTCTGAGAAATTCCAAGTGTCAAAAGCTCATCTGAGATCATGGCATACTTACCAAGGTCCCATGCCCACACCCTGTTTATTTTCTTTATAGCAGCCTTGAATATCCCACTTATCTGTACTAATTTCTTTTAAGTAAAATAAACATCCTTAGATAACATGAGCACAAATCCCCGTATCAAATGTGGAAGACTTTCTAGGGTGGTTAGTCTAAGCCATGGAGCACCGTAATTTTAGATTGTTCTTAACAGAAGCCTTTACTAAAGGCAATTTAAAGATAACATCAACAGTTATAGGAATTAAAACATTTCCCCACTTAAGGAGTCTTCAAGACCTTCACGTTCTCTGATTTGAATATATCTCAAATATATGTATATACACACAACACCCACACCCTCATTTTTGACTAGCAATAGGCTTTACCATCTTTACCTGACAATGACCCCAGGGCGGAGGTCAAAATTCTTCTTCACAATCTCTAATAGCTCTCTCTCACTCTTCTGAGAGGTGCCATAATGGAAAATGGAGATAGACAATGGATGAGAAACTCCAATAGCATAAGAGACCTAAAAGGATTCAAATGTCATATAAGAGTCAGTGACTAAAAGACCCACACACTTATGTAACACACCGGTATTTAAAAAAGACAAATACTACGCTAAATGCCCTCCCACTTGCATGCCTTCTAATCACTCCAGTTACACAAAAAGAGTATATACCTGAACAAGAACCCTTCTGCACAGACCTCCTTTAACAAGGGATTTTGCCACCCAACGAGCAGCGTAAGCAGCTGAACGGTCCACCTTGGTATAATCTTTTCCTGAAAAGGCACCTCCTCCATGAGCTCCCCAACCGCCATAGGTGTCCACAATGATTTTCCGGCCAGTCAAACCAGCATCACCCTGAAATTACAGGATTTTAGTCACTTTATGCCTAGTGCTTTCCAATAAATGGTTCTAAGTCAGGTTTGTTAAACGCCTATTCTGCACCACTCAGCAGATATCCGCAGAAGATTCACATGCAGACTTACAAAAGCTGGGGGGTGGGGGGAGTTATAGTAGCCAAATTTGCAAGTAACCATTACAGAAAATTAAAAAAGGTCAAATTGTATCAGAAGGCCTTACCTGAGGCCCACCAATAACAAATCTGCCACTTGGCTGTAGATGATAGATTGTATCCTCATCAAGATATTTTGCAGGTACAACTGCTTTGATGACTTTCTCCTTTAAGGCATCCCTCATCTCATCAAGACAAACCTCTTCATCATGCTGAACAGATATAACAATTGTGTGGACTCTGATGGGAAGCACAGCACCTCGATCCTGCATGTACTGCACAGTCACCTTGAAGGCAAAGCAGATGATCAGAACATCAGTTTACTAGACGGATTAGAGCCAAGACAAAACTAAATTACAATACGGAAGGATAGTCTTTTTTTCAGTTGGCTTTAAACAACTTTACTGATGTTCTGTGCAGTATGTGTGATCTAGCTTTATAATCACTTACTTGAGTTTTAGAATCTGGGCGTAACCAAGGCAAAGTGCCATTGCGGCGTAGTTCAGCCAGTTTTGCATTGAGCTTGTGTGCTAAGACAATAGTTAAAGGCATACATTCCTCAGTTTCATCAGTGGCATAACCAAACATCAAACCCTAAGAAAGGAAAAAGTCAATGCGATCAATCCAAGCTTCGGAATTTAACGTTAGAAGAGATGCAGGTAAGAGTCTACACCAAGGTACCTGGTCCCCTGCACCAATGTCTTCCTCGTTCCGGTCAAGATGAACACCTTGAGCAATATCTGGTGACTGCTGCTCCAAGGCTACCAGCACATTACAAGTCTTGTAGTCAAACCCTACAAACGAAACAATGCCTTAAGAAAAAAAAGGGCCAAAGCAATACCAGTGCCTTCTATTTACAGTAAGTATCTGGGATTTTAAATACTGCTAAAGAAACCAAATACAGGTATCCCCGCCACCCCCCTTTTCAAAAGTTAGTGTTTCACCACTTCACTTTTAGTAAAGACCTACACCAGTACTTTTCACTAACTGAAAAAAATCTGCAGAGGACTTATGCTTTTACAAAAAAAGCCATGTACTAATGTAGATCTACTGTAAAAATGAAGCCATGCTTTGCGTCATTTTGGCTTACAAGTTTCATGGGAACGTCCCATTTTTGGATAGCAGGGGAAACTTGTACACTAAAACCTAGAACTTTTAGAGAATATGGCTAGAACAAAACAGATAGTAAATGTACAACTGGAATTAATGGTTTAGTGGGAACACTCTGAAGACAGAGCTAGAGAGAACTGAAAATGTGGAAAAATGAGCTTAGAAAAGCCAACTCATTAAAACACACCTTTGGAAGAATCATCATATCCAATGTGTTTAATGGTTTCACGAACCACTTTCTGGTAGTCAACAGCAGCTCTGGACGTAATTTCCCCAGCAAGAAGGATCATTCCAGTTTTAGCAACAGTTTCTAATAAAAGATAAATTCACACTCAAATGTCACTCTTTTACAAAGTAGTTTCTGCAATGTTACCTTTTCTTCAGTTGATAAGCAAGCAGTGTTTAGAACCTACCACAAGCCACTTTGGCATCAGGGTCCTGCTGAAGGTGGGCATCAAGCACAGCATCGCTGATCTGGTCACAAATCTTATCTGTAGAAAAAAAGATTCCTGGCTCAATCTCTTTGTCTTACTGTCAATGGATGTATGTCATTCCTCCTTGTAAGTACTGCTGTACAGATCTTTGGGAGAGCTTTCTTTTAAAAACTGTGGTAAAACCTACAGAACATAAAATTTACCAATTTAACCATTTTCAAGCATAGAATTCAGTGGCATTTCAACTATGGAGACCTTAACTGCTGTCTAATTAAAGTACTGCTTTACCAGAAACCATTTGCCTGAAAAATAAATGCTGGATATAATGCTGCATATTACTTGAAAACTTGACACCAGTCTTAATATAGCTGCACCACAAGCTCACCAATTCAGATTAGCCAGCAGAACGCCCAGCACTTTTAATACATTTAAATCCATTGTGATTCATGCAATTTACACCTTAGAAGGATTTCATCCCATCTCTAAAGTATTTCAGACATTTTGAAAAATTAAGTTCCCAGGCAATACAATTTCCACTGTTAAACAACAGCCACATAATTGGAATTAAGTTAAAGTAGAAAGTTTATCTTCAAACCCAAAAGCAAAGCTGGGAAACATTTCGCTATACAGTATTATTTTTCAAGGACAATTATACTTGTTTTATCCCCCATATTTAAAATCTTCATTATAAATCTAACCAACCAGAAAGATGAACTGTCCCCCCCATCAATTTCTCCCTGATCCTAAGGAACACTAATCAGAGCAACAAAAAATGTCACAGTTAAACAATAAAAGGACACTTTATGAACAGAAGGAATAAAATATTTGATTTTGTCAGGTGTATTCCAGGAACATGAGCTGAACAGACTGGAAAATGTCCAAATGAATTCTGAATCCTTGTTACTTCCCCACTGTATTGCGATCTGTTAAAGAGTGGAAGAACAGAAATACCACTTTCCTGAATTTTCTACAATCATCCGAACAATTAAACCAAGACGTGTATTGCAATCAAGTCAGAGGCTCAAGATTTAATTTACAAACTGCTATAAGCGCCTGTGACTTACATGATTAAATTAATAAAACGTGGATCAAATACATGTGAAGTTCTCAACACTTAGAAGGTGGGTAACCCCCACCACAACACATGACCTTCCCTCATCAGGATCTTGGCGTCTGTCCTCTCCTACACCACTAGGTTGCTTGTGGGATTTCATAGGCACAGTAGACTAGAGAGAAACGGATCCTTAAAACCATTAGACTAGATAACTATGTCACCGTGGTCATCCCAAGAAAAGGCAGAATCCGTACAGCAAAACAGTGATCTCCACTAGGTGAGGTTTTCAGGCTGAGATTGAAAGTTTCTTGAAACAGCTTCACTCGTTCACGTGTAAATTGATCTCCATAATGGCGGACTAGTGGACAAAGCCCAGAGAAGGAAATGTTCGGTAAAACCTTTCCTAACGGCAAAGCACCAAAGACTTTAAAGGGAAATCCAACGCAATAGCAGCTTACACTTAATTCATGTTTCCTATCCTTTTCAAACGTGGTCCAAATAAGGAAGGCCTCCCACAACCTGCGCTATATTTAGTTGGGAGGCTGTCACCTTGACGGCAAGGCCATATATCGCCGAAAAGACACGTCCGTCTTCTTCTGGGGGCCGTAATGGCCCAAGGCAAGGAATTAACGTAAACGGCAGACGTCCCGAGGCCCGGGCCCCCCACTCCGCACACCCGAGCGCGCCGGGAGCCCGACGGCTCCCCCTCGCCCAGATGCCACATGCGGCAAACACGTGGTTGCGGCTGCAATGCGGGGCGCGCGCTCCCGAGGACCGGCCGCGAGCACTCAGGGCCGGTCGCCCACTCGAGGGCTTTCAGACGGCGGGGCGGAGATGAGGAAATAGTGCCCTCCCCGAGTGGAGCACAGCTGCCCCGGCCCCCGCCCTTCTCGTTTTCTGGAATCTTCCGCATGCCGAGGCGCGCGGCCGGATGGGAGGAGAGGAGAGGAAGGGGGAGGGGAACGGCGGCCACGCGCTCGGGACCGGCGGCGCCACGAGGAAGGCGCGCGGCCGCCGCTCTTCCCACCGCCCGCCAGGCGAGGGCAACCAGCGTGGGCACCGCGGCCGGCGACTCCCGGCCGGCCCTGCCCATGCCCCGCCCCTCACTTCGCTCCAGGGCCCGTCACCTCACCTGGGTGGCCTTCCCCCACAGACTCTGAGGTGAAGAGGAACGTGCCCTCCTCGATGAACGCCTCGTGAAAGCCGTTGAGTTGCCCGTTCATGTTGGTGTTCGTAGCGGTGAGTGTTAAGTGGCGTTGAAGAAAAAGGGAGCGGCGAGGCGACGACTGCGAAATGCACAAGCAGAAGACTGCGTCCTACTCAGCTCGGGCGGGCGGCGCAGAGCGAACGAGGCGGCGGGCGATGCGGCCCAGTATTTATACACAGCGCCAGCGCGCGCCCGGCCCAGGCCCCGCCCCTCAGCGCCGCGCGCCAATGCGCCACTAGCGCGGGGGTAGGCCGAAGGGGCGGTGCGCGGAAGGGGAGCCCGGGCTGAACCACTCCGCGGGGCAGGGGGAGCGAGCGGAGGTAATGCGCCCCTCCTGGGAATATTTAGTTATCTTAAGCACTTCTAACAAGGGCTAAGTGGAAATGCGAGTGCTTGGGGCCCTTGTACCCTTCCGTATTCGAAGTGGATGGAAAAGCGACGAGGACTTCGTGGGCCTGTTCCCCTTGCTGTGACATGGCACTTCCCTCCCGACCGTTGACCGAGCTGTCCGTGCGCGAGGTCGCGTCCCCCAGCGGCGACGGCGAGAATAGGCAGAGGTTTTGTCCTCAGGCTCTGCCCGAGGGTCTTTCCGGCCGGCCCCGCCTTTAGATGCCCTGGGGACAGGGAGCCAGTGGCCCTCAGCCATGTGAAAGTGGCCATCTTGGCTGGTCAGCGAACGATTCTTTGCACGGCCTTATTCATCCCCACCCCGCGCGGTGCTGGCGGCTGGAAATCCTGAGGGTTGCTAATAATTTCTTGGTTGATGCCTCGGTGGTGAAAATGGCCAAAAAGCAGAATAACGAGAGTTCTGTCATCGATTGCTGTCTTACTTCCACCCCAGCGCTAAAGTTTCTGAGAGAGGCCCTTTCCCTTTGTTGCTCCTGCAGTGAGGGCCGCACTCCAGCCCCTTCGGCTCCGGCCTTTTCTCCGTCCAAGAAGGGAGGCAGGCCCCTCACAAGGCTGACCTGGCACTTGCTGACTTTCAAATGTCTTGGAGGGGAAAATAATCACAGTTTAGAGTGTCCTTTCAATCCTCTGTTCAGGAGACTGTTGAATATTTTTCTTGGGGGAAAAGCCCTATTTTAGCCTTTGTATGTGATTAAGCAGATCTCTTGGTAAGATGAAATGGTCCATTTCATGAAGCTTTCACTTTAAAGATCCACCTGCGTTTGTCCCAGTTTTGCCCATGAAGGGAGAGAAGGAAAAAGAACAAAACAAAACGAGCCAACAAGGAGTAGGGAGACGGGAACGGATTTCATGGAGTCCGCGTTTGGAAGGAGCCCACAAGTGGGAAGGAGGGCAGGTGTCACTTACTCTTCTCCGGGGGCTGAGAGGGCTGACTCGGTGCAGGTCCGACAGGGGCTGCGGTCCCGGTGGTCCCGAGTGCATTAACATCGGGTTTAATGATGTTGTTAGAGAATGGCCTGCTCCTAGGATAGGATGCATGTTACCCTGGGGAGATGAATGAGACCCCTTGGAGCAGCCTCCAGCTGCTTTAACGCTCAGAGAATTAGCTAAATTCTGAAGAACAAGCCTGTCAGCGCGGGAGGAAAGGTGGGAGTTTGCCATTGGGAAACAATGGAAGCCCTTGGGCTGTGCGGCTGTGCTAGGGGCTTTGACAAAGACGGTTAAGAAAGGGCTCATGATCTCTTAGACTTTCTGACCACATCCATGGTGGCTCAAGGCAGGCAGCAAAGTTAAATCACAGAAGAGACAATATGTATGTTTTTATTTTTTAAAACTAACCACAGAAAAACAACTGTATAAGACTATTCCATAATTTTTCTTGTTTTAGTGTAGTTCATCTTTTTTTTTTTAAAGCACAATGCCAATTTATTAACTCACAATGAGTAATAAAATTGCCAACTGGAACAAATTGCATGTGTAGGCTGGTCAGTGCATTATCTCCCAGCAGAAAAATCTATATGGGGAGCCAGAATATAATTAGAAGGTTATTTGGTTAATATGGAGTCAGAACAAGGGGATTAGTTAAATTTAATGATTAGCTCATTAAACCCTGATACCCTTATGCTACCAGCTCCACAGTAGGGCTGTTCCTGCCAAGGAGATTAGAATCAGCTGTTCATACTTGCTTACCTACTTCTCTTTCCTGCTCATAGCATGTGTAATATAGTGGTTAAGAATAAGGGGTTTTGGAGCCAAGCCTCTGCCACTTATTAACAGTGTTGAGCAAACAACCTCTACATTTCAGTGTCCTCAGTCTGTAAAATTGGCATACTAATAGTACTATCATAAGATTGCTTCAAGGATTAAATGAAATCATGCAAGCAGTCTTTAGCTTTAGAACATAATAGGTATTTTTTTAAAACATTAGCTGTAAAAAATAACCCTTCCATGGCTTCTAATGGCTGTGAGGATAGAGACTAAAATCCCTCCATATCCTGAGTATGATTTGGCTGCTCATCTTGTGGCACTTTCTCCTTCTGTTTTTTACTTTTATCTTTTAATTAGTAACAGTTACATTATTAATTGGTTAGTTTCAAAACAACGCAGACACATTTTCATTGATTTTATATTTTTCCCATTGTTCCTTACTCCCACAAATATTTATGAGCACTTCTGGCAAGCAGCCCCGGGGACTGGGGCTATGACAGTCCTGGTCTCTGCCCACCCCCTCTCCCCGCCAGCTCTAAATGGGAGGAGATGCCTAGCTAAGTCCTCCTCATGCTTCCACCCCAGCTCAGTTGCCACTTCCTGGATGAAGCCTTCATCTACACTGATTTCTCACAGGGTCCTGTGTTTCCTACTAGGTGCTATTTGAAATTATAGCACTTATCACTGTAATCTGTAAGTTACATGACAATGAGAAGGTGGTCTGTTTTGCTCAAGCTTTGTTACTGAGTGTCTGACACACGGAAGCTGATTAGGAATATTTGAGGAGAGAGAGAAGAGCAGGAGAAAAGGAAGGAAACAAAAAAGGAATAAATATAAGGATGGCAGAAGGAAACAGGGAAATGAGAAATCCTGGGATCAATGAAAAGAGCTACAGTTTGGTTTTAGTTGCAAGCATCATAATAAAATTGAAGGCCCTTTACTATCAGGGAACTTCATTGCCATCCTGGTCTGAGAAGAGATTTTTGAATCCATACATTAGGGCCTTTAAGGTAAAATAAACCAGGAGAAGTTATTGGTATACTTCACATATAATATTAATGAGATTTATGGAATGTGAAATGTTGTAAAGCGCAAGAAAAAAATCTAATCACTGCCTAAAGGCTCCAGATTTCTCAACACAAGGAATATTAATGTGTTAGTAGTCTATGAAAGTGGCAAGGTTGGGACTGGATAAACTAGTGTTTGTGACTCACATAGCAAATATAACAACTCCAGGTCTTATCAGTTTGCCAGTGAAGAAGAGAGTTCCAGTAACTAAGAGAAAACATTTACCATGCAAGAAGTTGTTGATTGGGCAGGAGAAAAGAGGAAGATGACAGTAGGTATATCAAAGAGCAACAGAGAAGGTGTGGAGATGTTGAGAAGAAAGCTGCTAGGCTGTGAATCTTAAGAGTACCTTAAATGTGATGGGATGTGATAACAGGCCAAAAAGAAAGAAATCTAGACCAGATGTCTCCAAAATTGTTCCAGTCCTTTAGGGCCAAAGCTCAGACATCTCAGATGGCCTCAGACACAAGCTAGCTCTAGTGGGATCTGAAACTAATACGATGTGAATCCCCTCATTTTTAGGCTTCTTGAAATTTGCTTTTGTTTCTCTTTTTCTCTCCTGAGTCTTATTCAAATCTTTTGACAATTCCAGTAAAAGTCGTGATGGATGGAAGAATGGATAGGGTATCATGAAGACACTAAAAGAGACAATAATGATGGCAATATCATTTATTGTGGCAATCACTGTTCTCATATCTAGGCCTCCCAACAGTTCTAACAGGGCAGTTACTAGCTCTCTCCCTGTTTTACAAATGAAGACGCTATCACGTAAGTCATCCAGCTCATACATCAATTTAGTAGTGGAGCTGGGACTTGAGCCTAGGTCTGAGCTCTAAATTCATGCTCCTTGTTACAAGTCAAGTAATAAATTCTTCACACTCCCTGAGATCACTGATATTTAGTTTGTATCCAGGGCACTTGGCTGCCTCTGTCGGTGGAGAATATGACTCTTGATCTCAGGGTTGTGAATTTGAGCCCCATGTTGGGTACAGAGATTACTTTAAACTAATAAAATTTTTACCAAAAAAATTTAGTTTATATCCTTTCATACCTTTTCCTGTTAACATGCAAACACATACACACACTTTACATGAAACATGGATTTTTTTCTTAAAAATTTTCATGGCCATTTCTCCAGGACACTGGGGGTAAATCATTCTATTTTTTCTTTTTCTTAGTGTAGTAAAATAAACATAATATTTATAATTTTAACCATTTTTAAGTGTACAGTCTGTGACATTAAGTTCTGCAAAATCATTCTCTTAACAGTAAAATATACTATACTTTGACTCTGCCATCCAATTCATTCAGCTGTTGCCTTACTGGTTGACATTCAAGTTGTTTCTCATTTTTGCCCCATACACAATGCTGATGAACCGAACATATTTGTACATACACTTTTGTGAACCAATGTTTTTATTTTTGTGGAAAAGATGTCCCAAAATGGGGTTGCTGAAACAAAGGAAATGTGCACTTTTACACGTTACTAGTTACAGCCAATTACTTTCCAAATGGCTGTCAAAACTCACATTTCTACCAGTAGGGTATGACAAGATCATTTCCCAGCTCTCCCGCCAATGCTGCATGTTATCACTCTTTTTAATTTTTGTCAGTATGACAAATGAAAAATGTGGAGAATATTTTTATACCCTTGGGAGACTTTTGCAAGAAAGTTAGACTATCCAAAAGCCACAAAGGAAAAGGTCGAAAGACTTAACTACATTAAAAATGAAAAATTACTGTATCAGTAAAATCAAAGACAATAGGAGAAAACATTTGCAATACATGTGACAAAGGGTTAGTACCAATTGATAAGAAAATGACAACAGCCCAGTGAAACCTAGGAAAAAGAATGTAATTCATCAAGGAGGAAATGCAAATCGTCAATAAATGTGAAAAGATGCTCAACCTCACTGATAGGTAAATGAATTAATTGATTTGTATGGTGAGTTTGGGAAAAACAAGGCACATGGAGGAGGGAAGGGCAGAAGGAGGAATCTAAATAATAGGATGCTCAGTCTTCAGCTGCCCTATTAGTTTGGCCTCTGGTGAAGATTTCATGATTCTGATGATGCTTTCCAGAATTTCTAATGGTGCCATTCATGGGAGTGTACAGGGTCCAAGCACTAGGATTCAAATCTCTCTCCC